AACAGCCCTAAATTGAATGAGACATTTTCTTCACACAGAAGTTGTAGTTTGACATGTTTTTCTGCCCCCTTTTGATTGACAGGATATAACCAGATCATGGCTGTTTTTAAACAATCAGCAGATGGCTGATGGTGCAGATAATTGACCTTATCAGTAAGCCCCTCCCCTCGAACGCAGATGAGCCAATGGCAGTCGAGTATCAGTTGCAGGGGAGTGGAACTCGGACATCTGTAGGTTTCAGAGCCATAGAGAAACATTGGAGGATCCGAAGCTCGCATTGTTTTTATGGGGTTTATGCTTCAAAAATGGAAAAATGATGTGCCTAGGGTACTTCTAACACTAATTCCAGTTATCCTGAGAGAATAGGCAATGTAATTTATTTTATTCCATTTCCTAAATCCACCCAAAACAGAGCAAAATGTCCCTAAGCATTCAACCCCAATCACCATGAAGACGAAAATGTTCATTTTCTGGTTGTCACTCTCATTAAGCTACACTCTTCATCTGCTCAAGCAGAACATTAATGTCATCTTGTGCTTCAGCAAGGTATCTCTGGCTAAAACTAGCTAACGTTAGCGTTAAAGTTAGTGAGTCCTTGCTAACGTACAAACCTAAATGGCGAACTGTTCTCAAGTCATGTACCGTGCAGCTAAAGTCAAAAACACATAAAGGAAGGTCTATATTAGAGTGCCTCTCCATATTAATCGAGTTAAATGTAAATTAACTTAATCTTACTCTGCAGTATATGAACGGCGTTGATCCGGGATGTTGTCGTTGCGATCGTGACGACCGTAACAGTTCTCCCATTTGCATTGTGATCTGTATTTTTACATATTTATTTTAATATCTTTTATATATTCCTCCATGGCATATTTAAGTCCCACTTGAAGGTCCATCTTCAAACAGGAAAATAGTTTGTCAATAATGCAAGAAGACAATAGCAGAGTAATTTTTCCAGCTAAAGTCAGTTCATTGATGATTCAGTGATGTCATCATCCAGTTCAACTCTCTTCCAATAGTGTCTGTGTAATCAGTCAAGTGTCCCCAACTAAGTGAGATGCCGTTAATGCGTTATCGTGTTAACTTCCAACAGCCCTAAATTGAATGAGACATTTTCTTCACACAGAAGTTGTAGTTTGACATGTTTTTCTGCCCCCTTTTGATTGACAGGATATAACCAGATCATGGCTGTTTTTAAACAATCAGCAGATGGCTGATGGTGCAGATAATTGACCTTATCAGTAAGCCCCTCCCCTCGAACGCAGATGAGCCAATGGCAGTCGAGTATCAGTTGCAGGGGAGTGGAACTCGGACATCTGTAGGTTTCAGAGCCATAGAGAAACATTGGAGGATCCGAAGCTCGCATTGTTTTTATGGGGTTTATGCTTCAAAAATGGAAAAATGATGTGCCTAGGGTACTTCTAACACTAATTCCAGTTATCCTGAGAGAATAGGCAATGTAATTTATTTTATTCCATTTCCTAAATCCACCCAAAACAGAGCAAAATGTCCCTAAGCATTCAACCCCAATCACCATGAAGACGAAAATGTTCATTTTCTGGTTGTCACTCTCATTAAGCTACACTCTTCATCTGCTCAAGCAGAACATTAATGTCATCTTGTGCTTCAGCAAGGTATCTCTGGCTAAAACTAGCTAACGTTAGCGTTAAAGTTAGTGAGTCCTTGCTAACGTACAAACCTAAATGGCGAACTGTTCTCAAGTCATGTACCGTGCAGCTAAAGTCAAAAACACATAAAGGAAGGTCTATATTAGAGTGCCTCTCCATATTAATCGAGTTAAATGTAAATTAACTTAATCTTACTCTGCAGTATATGAACGGCGTTGATCCGGGATGTTGTCGTTGCGATCGTGACGACCGTAACAGTTCTCCCATTTGCATTGTGATCTGTATTTTTACATATTTATTTTAATATCTTTTATATATTCCTCCATGGCATATTTAAGTCCCACTTGAAGGTCCATCTGTGTCCCAAATTTATCAGAACCACCCCGGAAGAAGGTTTTCACTGACAGCTGTCATTGTAAGATAGTGAGCAACTCCGTTTGTTTGTCTGAGTGAGCAACAGTAACTAAGGGGGGTGGGGCTTACCGATTATTGACAGATACATTGGTGCATCCCCAGTTATAAGCAAATAGTACAGTTATATGTGAAGTTTACTAAAATATTCTTCTATTTTTCTCATTTGTTTGCCCTATTAAAGGAAGCAGTGGAATGGAAGCCATCGTCTAACTGTAAAATAGTGTATGTATTCCAGAATTATGCTAAAGAAATAAATCTTATGGTCATGTTTTACTGCAATATTGTTTACGGTTTCTTTTTGTGCCACAGGAAGCAGGAAAAGTAGTGACTGAAGATGGAGTTGGCCTTTCTGATTTTTTTCTTACTTTCATCATATCTTTTCTTTCCAGAATACTTTAAGTGTGTAAGATCTGGTCAGAGTCAGACATAGGTAACTTAAACTGAGAGCAGGGTTCGTGCAAGGTGCTTAAAGTGCTTGAATTTGACTGTGAAATGTAAGTCCTGGAAAACAGCCATATTTTTGAGAAGGTACTTGAAAAATACTTGAATTTATAAAGGGCAGTATATATAAAAATTAGTGTTATTTTTTTCTCTCGATAAAACAATCTTTTTACGCAAAATTAACGATGCAGCGCATCTGATATAAATACAAAGCCGTTTCGCCGGGCTTTTCGCAGCGCACGAGATCTCGCGATATTACTCATTGAGGTGAAAAGCGGTCTCGCGATATTAGTATAAAGTTGTGTTTGCGGTAAAACCTTTGATAGTGCTTGTATTATATTGTTCGGTCTTTTATTGCATGTGCTGTTCGTTTGGGTTTCATTTGGGAACGCATATAAAGTCTGACGCGTTTTGTGTTGCACTGTTATCATTTACAAGCGTGGAGCTCATCTCCATCTCAGCTGCTCGGGACCATAGACTGTATAAAAACAGCTCGGAACACAAACGCTTCCTCTGCATATACTGTGAGTTTTGGGTTGTTTAACGTTCATCTGGGAAAACAGTGCATGTTATCTCACTAGATTTGTAACGTAAATCATTTATAAACCTATGCCAAAACAGGAGAATACATCAACATATTTCTAAATATGCGATTTGTTGTACATAGCGATTTCAAAATAAAAGTTCAAACCCTTGTTCGGAGTTTGCATGTGGCCAAATATTAAACACGGATTTAAACGTCCTTGAATCACGCTGTAAAGTGAAGCATGGCCAGGCCGTTGGCGCCCTCTGCAGGTATTTGTTAAAATACATATACTTAAATTGGTTGTGTTCATATTTTGTGCAGGCATATTACATTATGTAGGCCTATTTTAGCAGTGTTGTTCTATAAAACCATGTAATTACTTGGTTTTGATACTTTATTTAAACCAATTATTATTGCCTCATCGTTAGTTTATATATAAATAGTCATACTAAAGCCCGTTTTTCAATTAGGTCTATTTGTATTACTAAAAAATATAAGATTACTAAATTGTCAAAATAATCAGTAGATTACTTGATTACCAAAATAATCATTAGTTACAGCCCTATATTAGTTAAAATATTTCAAAATACAAGTGCATCGTTTAGATTTGTGTGATTAAAAGACATTTTGTCATTAAAAAAAAAAATCTTAAAAATATTACAGTATTAAAATATTGTCTCATTCTAGTGAATCAAGTATCTGTATATCTTGTGAGCTAAGTGTATTGTCACACACCCTAGTGTTGATAAGTGGTGATATTGCTCATCATTTCCCAAGTGTATGATACAGCTTTCATTCTTCAGGTCAATCATATATTCATGGAAAAAAAAAATCAGTTTGAATAAGGAAAGCGATAACTTTGCCATATTATCCTTTCAAATGTTAAAGTTGCCACAGTCATTGCATGCTTTTGTGCCGCACTTTATTTGTACCATTTTGTATTAGTTTATTAGGCTAGAATTTGAAAGATAATAATATTGTTTGATAAGTGAGATTTCGGATTTTAGTCCTTGAAAACCAAAAAAGTAGTGCTTGAAAAGTCCTTGAAAGTCCTGGAATTTACTTTTGCAGTTTCTGTACGAACCCTGTGAAAGATTGTAATGACTTGTTGCCATGCTACCTTCAGACTGTGTAGTGTGTAATTATGCACATGTTCATGTGTGATGAGGAAGGACATGGAATATGGGGGATTTCTAACTTTTACCATCATTAAGCTCAAGGAACATGAAGAATATCTGGAAATAACACCAGTTGCCCCCAATGTCCAAACAAAGAAAATTAGGATAGTTGTAGTCATCCACTGTTATGGGCAAAAACGTTTATTTAAATTAGGTCAAACATTTCAGTTGATAGCCATGTTCTTTTGTTACATTAATGCATTTGACAAATGCTTTTATCCAGTGACTTACATTGCATTCAAGTTATACATTTCATCAGTTGATACATTTCCTGGGACTCGAACTCATGACCCATTGCTAGCGCTTTCTCTACTGTTTGAGCTACAGCAATGTTGTTTGAGGTCAAAGTATGAACTTGTCAAAATAAGCGTGTTGTGCTTAAGCTTTGAATAAATGTATTTCCCTTTTCTTTCTTGTTTTTCTCATTAACACAACTGTTTTGTTGAGTCCTAGATCACGATCAAACAATTAGTTATGTCAAGATCACGAGTAATCAAGAAATAAAAACCAATGCTACATGCTGACTTAACTTGGAAAAAATGTGTTCCGAAATACTGTTTTATATTAATGTAAGGGATTAATGACAAAATTTTTATTTTGGGGTGGAGTATCCCTTTAAGTTTTTTTTTTTCTCCTAATAATTGATAGTTTTAAAGTGATATTAAACATTTTTTCTTCCCTGACAGCATGACCACCCTAGAAGGTTTATAGCTTTGTCAGCATTTTAAATCCCTGGTAAATTTGCATCGCTGGTTTTAGTCAGATGCTTTAGTCTTAGGTGCTTGCCAAAATATACATTGTGCAAAGATGGAGTTAAAATTTTATTCAACGTTAGACAACACCAATACAAGAGGATTCACACACTCTCATTGCCAGTGGTTCACCTGCGCCTCATTCAGGGAAACTACAAGAAAATTGACACCAAATGACATCAGCTGGCAGACAATAGAAATAAGTCATTGTAATAGATCATGAACATTTGAATTAATTCAATTCTGAACACACACCTTTCCATCGAAGCAGGTCTCTGTGCAAGGCGACCCAGAGGGCAAGCACACTTCAGTAGAGCACATGAAGTAAATCTGTTTGCAGGGAGAAACACTTGAACCACCGGCTTCTTTCCAAATCATGCTTCTGATCGTGTGTGTGTAGTTACCTCCTCATTCAGGTATTTTTTGGTGGACAAATCCATGAACTGAAAGGCTTTAATCTCAAAGCGACGCTGGTGCCGATTCTGAGGAAGATGTTTCATATAAAGGATGGGGGTGCTGCCAGAGTCGAGAGGATGAGGGCATCTGCAGAATAAGTGTTAAAGAAGAATCAATGCTGAATAAGACATTTGAGAAAAGGAAAACTTGTAAATATATGCATATCAAATTATTTTTGGAATAAACTGAACTGAAACGAAAGGTGTTGAAGTGCAACAGGTAATTATGGAAACAAATGTTAATGAACTTAAAATAAAAATGCACACAAATCAAATACCCCTGATGCCATGGTCTCTTACCCATCAAACAGTAGAACCAGGGCACTCTGAGCGGAGCGTGGATAGGCCACACAGTAGTGAACTATAAGAGTAGCTGCCGGTTTTCGAGACCTCAGACGCAACTCCAGATATACAGACTTCCCCAAAAGAACGTGTAGGGGCTGATGACACTGTGGATAAAACTTAGTGAAAGTCTCATCTGCAAGAAAAAAAAAATTGGGGGTAAATTAAGCATCTCAAATAGTAAAGGCTATGACAGTATGGCATGTTCCAGTTTAACATGGCTACTGAAATTTACCCATAGAAATTAAAAGCTGAACTCCAAACCGCCCTTCAGACACCAGGACTGGAGGCAGACTGAGACTCATAACCATGTATCCTGCACTCGCAAGCACAGGTCCTGCAAACATGGGAGCAGCTGAAACCCTTGGGTAGCGGCACTCAACCATCAGTCTAAGGAAGACAAAATAAGACAAAGGAGGAAAAATAAGATGCATATAGGCATACAAGCATACAATGGCAGCCTGTGAGATTACGAAGACTTGGAACAATATGCACTGATAAAAATACACTATAATACCAGAAACATGCATTGAAGACAGCAAAAGGACAGGCTAGACCATTTTCACAGAACATTTTTAAAAACCTGATTGGATTATCCCTGGAGATCATGCCGTACTTCAGGTTGCGAACTTTAATTATGGTCTGTACCTCAGCCAGGTAAATTATCGTCTCGCCAATGACCTGTAGAATTACAGCAAACGTCCTCTTGTTTCAATGAACTGACTGAATCAGTGTACAGTACAAACTGTTCTCTACAGCAAAATACTTGCATAAGAATGTGTTCCACACTCAGAGGCAGAAAATTTGAAGACGGCAAAGTCTTTGTTGGAGATAACAGGCTTGCAACCAGTCTTTCCAGCAACCATCAGGCTCATGGGGTTCACAGGGATGTTTGTGAAATAATTATAAACGGCGAAGACAAATTTCTTATCAGCAGTGCATTCTGGGAAGACAAGAAGGTTGAGCCAAATTAAACTAAATTTGAAAACAAGACGTTAAAAACACATAAAAAAAAAAAAAAAAAAAAAAAAAACCCTGGATTT